GGTGATGATGATTAGATTCCGATTACGACATCCAGTGGAGCGTTGTAGCGGCTTACTTGGTCCTGCCTAGATCGGCTTGACGACAATGATTGAGGGACGTTGGTGCTATAATGGTCCAGAGGTTGTTTTATTAACCTCTGGACTTCCTGCGTAATTTCGTATATATGAATTCTGACGTACCTAGGCGAGGGCTCTGCAGCAAGCAGTAGCTGCTTACATAGCATAGTATGGCGGCTCGTGAAGCGGATAATTTTTACCTTGGTGGTGCTGTGTCGACATCAGAAGGCATCTCGTGATGGTCCGGAGTGCCGTGTTTTGGCAGGTATGTGATTTCATCCACTGCGTCCTGCTAGTTCCTGGCGATTATACGGGCGTTGCATGGTTCAGAACCGGTTGGGCAATTAAATTGTATCTTACCAACTACGTTTCTTTGTTTTTGCCACAGGTGCGGGTGTCTAGCGACTTCAGGATCTTGTTGCGACTCTGTACTCTAACAAAAGCGGCAATCCTGCAGTGCTGATTAAAATTTACAAGACTGTTGCAACTTCTAAATTGATAAAACGTTGCTAGAAATTGCCATCGGGATGGGGTTTCGGGGCATTTAGTCAGACATCTTTCGTCCACGTGGTAAATAGGGCTGCCAAGGATTTCGTAGGGGAGAGGGTTAGGCTCCTTGCAGTGAAGAAGCGAGAAAGTTCGAAGAGGTAGCGTTTACTTTCGAGCACAAGTCATCAATTCCATTCCCTGGCGCCATTATCGAGCAGCCGTCAGCATAAGAGATCATGAAGACGGCGGTTGAGGGTAAGTGGTAAAATCGGATCTCAATTACTACTTCTTGCCACAGTTTGTATGGGGATTTGCCAATGTGAAGGGTCCCAGTCTATGAAAGATTGAAAGATACAACACAAGTGCAGCAGGTTCTAGCAGCTGGAACTTATTTCAATGGGTATTCAAAGTAGACGCTACGTTGTTGTTGTTGTAGCGGCTACAACAACCCCGCCCAGGTCGGTTGGTATCTCAGTCGTTGTCGTCAAGTTCCACTAACGGCAGCCCTAGGAAGCGTGCAGCTTCTGCGGGGTTGGTCCACAGGGACAAGGCCGTCAGGGTTGTCGGGTTTTCCGGGCATGCGAAGAGATGTTTCGAGTCATGTGGGGTCTCTCCGCATGCTGGACACTCATTTGGCACATCCTCATTCAATCTACTCAGGTACGAGTTTAACCTGCTGCAGTAGCCGGAGCGAAGTTGTGCAAGTGTCGTTCGCGTCTCCCGAGGCAGATGAAGCTCCGTCTCGTCTGTGTCCGGGGGCGGTATGCCTAGAACGGCATTCACAGGTCTAGTCTGACGTGCCTAGGCGAGGGCTCCTCTGCAAGCAGCTGTCTGTTTGGGTGGCCACTTCTGTGGCTCCCGACCAGGAACTGCTTGCAGAGCATGATGTGCTCCTTTACGGGGAGCATTTGCGCCTCGCCGTGAAGATGGTGTTCGGGCGACATCAGGAGGCATCCTGTCGCTGTCCTGAGTGCGGTGTTCTGTGCAGTCTGTAGCTTCGTCCACTGCGTCCTACTAGTCCCCGGCGACCACACTGGCGCTGCGTAGTTCAAAACCGGCCGGCCTATTGCCTTGTATGTTGCCAGCAACGTTTCTTTGTCTTTGCCCCAAGTACTGCCGGCTAGCGACTTGAGGACCTTGTTGCGGCTCTGTACTCTATTGACAATAGCGGTTGTGTGCGCAGAGAAGGAGAGCAGGCTGTCGAATGCTACTCCGAGTATTTTGGGGTTATTCACCGTCGGAATTGGTGTGTCATCGACGTGAATTCCCAGCGGTAGCCTGACCTCCTTCGTCCAGGTTGTGAACAGGGTCGCAGAGGATTTCGTAGGGGAGAGGGCTAGACACTTTGCAGTGAAGAAGCGAGAAAGTTCGGAGAGATACCCATTTACTTTCGAACACAGGTCATCAATTCCATTCCCAGCCGCCATGATCGAGCAATCGTCGTCGTAAGAGACAATCGAGACTCCCTCTGGTGGTTGAGCGAGCTTTGAAATGTAAAAGTTAACTTTTAGACGCTACGTTCGTCACTATTAGCATTCAGTGATAGAATTTTCGTAAATTACACGAAAACTCGAACTACGATGGATTTTGCGATAGCCCTGAATATCTTACCTGGGTTTAATGAACGTTGTTATCCCAATAGCTCTTTGGCGCACATTGGCTAAAAGTAGTTACACTCTCCATGAAGTCTTTGAAAATGCTTTAAATCGGTGACGGGCACTGCCTTGCCCGCGTGCAAAGCTCTTTTTAGCTTTCTATACATTTTGTATAGGCGCGTGCAGAATTAAAGCTCTCTCTGCCTATCGGTGATTTGAAGCAGATCCGTCACCGCTTTAAATCATGTACATAAATGTCTTCAAATCTGAACCAGTGTGGGTCGCACTGATTATTGATAATCGCTTCATCCGGCCTAGAGGGAAGCGCCTAAGAAATATGCAACATCTTCATGGAAGCATTACCTATATTTCACATAGCCAATTTATTTGTGTACCTCTTTTAAGTTTTTATCTTGCATAGTTTTAGGCAAATCTCTAATTTGACAATTTTAGGCATTTATAGCACAAGCACAAAAACTTTAAAATCTCTTTCTCCAAGCATTCGAGTCAAGTTTTTAAAACCATTTATCATTCCCAATTTATTTGCATTCTCTCCTACCCAAATCGTAATTACCTTTTTCTGCACCTCTGTACGGCATCATCTTTTCCCAGTTTTGAAATATTCACAATTTAAAACAAACACCGCGATTGTACTAAAAATTAATCACAGATACAGCAGATATTGAAAATGCACCAATGCCCAATGCTCAGCAAACATAATTCAAGGCAATAAGCAAAAACTAAAACGCAAAGAAAATCAAGAAAAGGAAAAGCGAGTCAATATTGAGTCACTTATTAAAATTAATTAAAATAAAGTAAACAATTTATGTAGTACATCAAATTAATCGCTTACACAAATAATAAATTGCGTCCGATTAACAGCAGTAGTACATTCCATGTGCCTCAAATTCAAATTATGAAAAATATATGTAGTATGTATATTTTAGGTTTATATTGTTGTAATTATGTATTTATCTTTTTTATTATTTTGTATAATTTCTCCTTGTTCTTCTCTCCATCTGCGCCGGTACATCAACAAACACACACTAAACTTCTCGAAGCGCTTACAATTTATCGAGGTATTGGGACAAGTCAGGGAGACCCTCCTTCAAACCCTTACGCTTACGTGTATCTTGCACAATCTGGTATGGTTTGCTGCTAGGTTCGCAGGGGTCACCAGGCAACACTTGCCAATGGTCGAACACACATTGTGGGAAAGCTTGGCCACCGGTGTTGGAACGCAAATCGGCGGTGAAACCGAACGACTCGTTTACGGGCAAGTAGGCTTTGACAACGAACATAGGTGTGCCTACGACTTGAGCTTCCTCGAATACGTGACCACGACGCCTGTTCAGTACACCGTAGATGCCACCGACAGCAACCTCAGGGCACTGAATTTCACACAAGTAAACGGGTTCCATCAAACGTGGGCCAGCAGTAATGGCTGCAGCGTACAAGCAACGACGTGTTGTTGGAATGATTTGGCCACCACCACGATGGATAGCATCAGCGTGCAACGTCACATCATAGATGTTGAAGCGAACACCACGCAGGTTCTCCTCAGCCATGATACCTTCTTTGGTGGCCCACTGGAAACCAGCAACAACGGAATCCTTGATTTCGTTCAAGTACTGTACAGATTTGGTACAATCCAGAATGAAGTTGGGCCCAGTGCCGTCGGGACCGAAACACCAGATCTTACGGGCTTCTGTCACATCATAATCGTATTTCTCAGCTAAGTAACGGGCACGAAGTTTGAAATCGTCCTTCGAGCTCACATCACCGTTATCAATGTCCTCTGGCAAACCATCAGGCATGGGTAAAGCTTTCATCATCAGACGATTGTGCTTGTTGGGCGATTTGGACAAGCACATTTGGTTCGATTCCTCGAATACGGTTTCACGGTAAGATACAACAGGGTCGGACTTCTTCAATGGAATGCAAGCGTGATCTTCTTCCAAATCCTTCAAGCAAATTTCCAAGTGCAATTCTCCGGCGCC